GTTTGTGTGAGATGCATCAGTACAGGCTTCTGTGTGACCAAGGCGTCAGTATAGAGATGACAGAGCAAAATGCATTTCTTGCATGATACTATAGTGTTATTTGTAGGAAGATCGTAGAGTAAAAAGAGAAAAGAGACCAATAGGGAAGTTTTAAATTTCCTGTTTTGCTCTGAGGAGCTCAGATAATTACAGTTTATAAAATGAACTGACAGTATCTAGATTAAATAAAGAACAGCCGACTGAATTGTTGCATGCAGAGGAACTGACCCTTGCTTTTCTGACTGAGCTTCCCTCAACCACCAAGTAGCCTTTGGAACATTCCAGGTTGTTTGTTCAGAGTAACCACAGGCATGTGAGTCATAAGAACGATTCTGAAAGGTGTTTTTTTTGGAAGGAAGAGAGAAGAGAAAGAATGGAAGAAAAGAAAGAAAACATTTGCATTTTATTGTAGTGCCTGTTTATAATCCTAGCACTTGGACATCTGAGGCAGGGGAATTGCAGTGAGTTCAAGGCCAGCCTGGGCTATGTATAACAAGGCTTCATCTCACAAACACTTCATTTTTCAAGTTGATCTGCGTTAATGTTAAAGTTAGGAGATGCTGTCAGAGGCTTCCTATCTGGGATTCCAGTACTGCCTAAGTGTGTATGTGAATGGGCCAGCACACATGGACGGAGGTTACAGGTCAGCGATCGGTGCCGTCCTCTTTGCTCTGCACTTGGTTTTTTGAAGAATCGTTTTATGTGTATGGGTGTTTTTGCTGTGCACCGTGTATGTGCAATGCCTGTAAAGGCCAGAAGAGGGTGTCCCTGGAACTGTAGTTGCAGAAGGTTGTTGCCCAGCATGTGGGTGCTAGAACTGACCCAGGCCCTCTGCAGGATCAACAAGTACTGTTTTCTGCTAAGCCATCTCTGGCCCCTGCACTTTATTATTATTTTTTAAATAGCTGTATCCTGCAGCGCCTGCCTGGGGACTGAGCATTGAACTTGGGTCTTCAGGATGGCATGGCAAGTAGCTGACCAACTGAGCCGTCTGCCCAGTCGTGTGTCCGTTGTTACGATGTTCTTCAAGACAAGGGAACTTTTTTTCTCACTGAGAAATTAAAGGGCTCTTGGTAGGTAAGGTAGAGCAGGGCAGAATTACCTTCAGTCTAGGCAACTATAAATGCAGGTCAGCATTTAAGAAGAAAGTGGCGAGTCCTGATACAATTCCACTTGATAGATTACAAAACTAGATTTTTTCCACCTTTTAAATATTGTGTTTTTTAGGTAATCACAGAAACAGGAAGTTGCAGAAAATAGTACAGATATTAAAGATTTATAGAAAATTGCAAAACCTATACAGAGAAATCTTCCATTCCGTTTACCTGGTTTTTCCTGCAGTTGCATCTTGACTGTTGTACTATATCAAAATAGAGAAGTGATGTTTGTGCCATGCATGTCTATGTAGTTCTGTGATGTTTTATTTTATACACGCAGATCTGTACAGACTCATACACCAGAAACAACTCTTCCTTGGTGCTTTCCCTCTGCTACCCCTTGCAAGTCATAACTGTCTCGCTACCTGCTCCCCACCCCATCCTGCCTTCCTTGACCATTTTCTCCTGCCTTTTGAAATTTCTGACTTCTTCTCTTGCCTGTTCCTAAGATCTCAGGATTACTCTTTACTTTAATCAGTAGGTTTCCAATTATGTTGTTTTCCTATGGCAGCTTGCTCAGTTTGAAGATCTTACATCTTCTGTTTTTCTTTATTGGTGTGGTGTTGAGAAATGAACCCAGGGCCTCACACATGTTAGGCATAAGCTCTACCACCAAGCTACACATCCCCAACTGTTGGCTTACTGTGTGTGTGTGTGTGTGTGTGTTGCACACCCACACACATGTAGGTGTGTGAATGCTACAAGCACTTGTAGAGACCAGAGAACAATATGTGGGCTCTTCGACCCTGTGAGATTGAATTCGGGTCAGGTAGCAAGCAGATTTACCCACTGAGCCACCCCCTCCTTCCTTAGTTTGCCAGTCTGTTTTGAGCTTGTGTCTCCTCTGAGAATGAGCACACACATGGAAACAACTCTGAGGATGTTTCCTGTCTGAAGAGCTCCAGTCTTTCTTATTTCGCTGGATGTAGAATTCTAGAACTTTGAAGTTGTTGCTTTCAGTTGCCTAATAGTATTCTCTGAAGATAATTTGTACTTTAGGAAAAATGAACATAAGATTTTTTTGTTGTTTTCAATCTCTTTGTCTACAGGGTCCTACTTTTTAAAATTTTTTAAAATTGTTTTGATACTATGCTTTGGCTTCTGTTCCACATACTTCATCTATATACTAAGCCATAGGAAGATCAATTGTTATCTTTAAGTTCTTGGCCATTTTCTTGACTTGCTACTTTCTTGCATCTCTTAAGGTTCTTGTTGTTTAGATGTTAACACATAAATTCTTACTTAACATCCAATTAGTGTCTTGGTGGATTTTGCCAATGAATGTTGTGTTAGTCAGGATTCTCTGGAGGAACAAAACTGATAGAATGAATCTGTCTGTCTGTCGGTCTATCCATCCGTCAATCCGTCTATATCTAGAAAGGGCATCCATTAGAATGACTTATAGGCAGTGGTCCAGCTATGCCAACAATGGCTGTTCACCAACAGAAATTCCAAGAATCCAGTAGGTGTTCAGCCCATGAGCTGGCTGTCTCAGCTGGTCTTCAGTCCACGCTGGAATCCTAAAGAAGTAGACCCTAATGCCATTGAAGACATGGACTTGCCCTCGAAAGTGAGGGCAAACAGGCAAAGAGCAAACGCTTCCTTTATATAGGCTGCCACCAGAAGGTGTGGCCCAGGTTTAAGGTGAATCTTGCCACCTCCAAAGATCTGGATTAAAGGTGAATCTACCATATCAAATGACTTAACTGGAAAAATGCCTCATAGGTATACCTAGTTCCTTAGGTTTCAGCTGATTCCAGATGTTGTTAAGTTGACAACCAAGAATAGACATCATAGATCCTCCCTTTGTCACGTGGTTCACAGTCATCTTATTTCATGTTTAATTTCCAAATTACAATAATAACCAGGCAGTAATTATGCCTAACATGACTTAACTATCCTACCTACAACTGCAAATCCTTTATATATTTTAGAATTAGGTAGTAGTGTCCTTTAAGGGACATTCTTTTAGTATTTCAAAAATTAAATACAATAACCACTGATATTCTCCTAGTTGATGCTTGCACTACATGATAAAGAGATCAAGGAAAATACACAATTATCTGCACAAATACGTTTTGAACAAAATATGACAGGTATAATAAATTTTCTCATCTATCAAAGAGTAATGTTGGGATATTATTCTTTCTCAGATTTCTTTTGTTCCCTACAAAAAGGGTTTTTCTTTTTTTGTTATGGGTCCTTTTCTCTGATAGTTTTTTGCTATATTATAGAAGCTCTCTGACAGACCTAAAATTTATAGACAGAAACTCTCCTTTAAAATCAGATGAGGCCGGGCAGTGGTGGCGCATGCCTTTAATCCCAGCACTTGGGAGGCAGAGGCCGACGGATTTCTGAGTTCGAGGCCAGCCTGGTCTACAGAGTGAATTCCAGGACAGCCAGGACTACACAGAGAAACCCTGTCTCGAAAAAGCGAAAAAATAAATAAATAAATAAATAAATAAATAAATAAATAAATAAATAAAATCAGATTAATCCAGTTCTACTAGCTTACATGAATCAGAACATTTTGAATAGTGGTGTATACTAGCCATATGTATGTGTTTCATTTACATTGGGTATGATATGGAGATAATCATAATTTTGAAGCAGCAAGGCAAAAGTGACATCTTTGAGCTATCTGTACCAGTTGTAAGTGTAATTTCTTTTATATCACAAAGAATACATATATTGTACCATACTCTGCAGCCTACGTTTATAATTATAAAGGATTCAGTTATTTTTATTTTATGTGGGTAGGTGTTTTGCCTGAAACCACATCTGTGTAGTACTTGAGTGTGTGTTACCCACAGAGGCCAGAAGAGGACATTGGATTCCCTGGAATTGGATTTACAGACAGCTATGAGCCACCATGCAGGTGCTGGTTAATCAAACCCTGGTCCTCTTTAAGATCAGCAAGTGTTCTTAACTGCTGAGCCATCTCTCCAGCCGAGAGTGGTTCCTTTCAAATAAAGGGGATTAATGTACAGGTTTTTTTTAAAAAAAGTTTTTTTTCTTTTAATGCAAGATCTTGAGCCATTTGAATTCTATTCTTAGACCATTGGGGTGATCAAGAACTTCTTTATGAAACAGCCTTCAAATATCTGAAGTCAACAACTGTCAAGTCAAAGAGTAAGATGTTTTAAAATGATTAATCATGGGGCTGAGAGTCAGCTCAGTGGGACCAGACTTTGAATCCCTAGCACTCATGTGAAAGACCAGACCAGACTGTCTGTAAACCTGAGCACTTGGTTGTGGGGTGGGTAAAGGGACAGATGGAACCTGGGTGACTGGGGCTGGCTGGCTGTGGCCAAGCCAGTCTAGCTGAAATGGGAGCTCCAGGTTCATTGAGAGACCATCTCAAAAACTGAGGTGGAGAGTGACTGAGAAAAGCACCCAGAATTGACCTCCGCCCTGTACATCCACATAGCAAGCCCATAGCACATGCACACGTGTACGTCACACCATATACCTGTACAGAGGAAAAAGGGACAAGTTACTTGGGATGGCTCTGACTGACTAAATAGGTGTGACAGTCAGCAGTGTTTGGGGTGTTCGATCAGGGGACACTCCATCATACTCTGACTATGAAATACAAGTTTGTCTGTATTCTTTTAGATAATAATTTTATGCATATAATCTAATAAATTTGTTTTAGCTTTTACAGACTAATTAGTATTGTTATGTATTCATACTGCTTGTTCCAGAAAAGAACATACACAGTCTTCACTAAATTCCCTAATGTAAGAAAACTGAGCTGTTTCTTACATTTAATTTATACTTAATTTTGTTTTAATCTTCTAGGAACTTTCAAGTTGTGGATGGAATAAAAAAGAAAAATACAGTTCTGCACCAAATGCAGTCGCTTTCACAAGAAGATTTAATCATGTGAGTTGTGGTTGGGTGAGGGATGGCGTGACTGTCCTTGATTGTGTATGCACTTGTGGAAGCCAGTCTTGTATGCCCTTGTATTATTCTCTTCTTCACTACCAGCCCATCTTAAGAGTCTCTGAATGAACTCTGAGCATATGGATTGACTATACTTGCTGACCAGTAAGCACCCAGAATATTTTTCACCGTGTTCTAGGCTTAATTCAGCTACTCTTGATAATAGAATGTTTTCTGAGTTGTTAACCTAAGCATATTGACTGTTTGTTATGTATAAGTTAGCTGCTGGTTTCAAAGGTTTGGTCAGTTTTGATCCCTTGGCAAGAGTTATAGGCTGCTTTGTTTAGCTAGGATAACTTCAGGAGGCTCTTAGTGTCTGGTTGTGTTTTTATGATGTTAGCAGTTGTTTGCTAAGTGTGTTTGAGGTTATTGGAAGGTGTGTTGTCATTTCGTTCTTTGGAATGCTTGCTGTGGTGCTTTGAATGAGAATGGCCCTCAGGTTCATATGTTTGAATGCTTGGTCCCCCATTAAAGGGTCGGTTTGGGAAGGATTAGGAAGTGTGGCTTCACCCGTAGAAGTCAGAGCCAGCTTTGCTAAGAACCTTTTCATGAAAGCGGCCACATACTGCCCAGACTCATCAAGGGGTTGATAGACATCACAACTTTTGATGAAAATGACAAAGCATTTGGATTTTTAAAATCATATTTGTCTTAAAATGTGTCTAATGTGAAATTTAATTAAGTCACTGATTATGCAGTTTAGGTTCGAATTAATTGCTTATATTTGCTAAAGTTCCTATTTAAATATTTGTAGTATAACTTTTGCTAGTTCATAAAATCTTGTTAGAATCAGGGAGCATTATTGGCATTAGTATAACAAGTATTATAATGACTTTATAAAATACATAATTTTAAATTAACATAAATTCATAGAATACATGTAACTACACATATGGCTCTTTACAGGTAGAAAATCCAAGAAAATTCTAAAATATTTCTCCATTTTGAACTGAAGAAATATAGGTTATGACATCATGAATCCTTTCCTAACACTCTTAACTGAGTCCTGTGTAAACTTAAGTTTAAGCCAACTTAACATGCTTAGATCCTATTTTTGTAGAACATGAATTAATGCGTACTATATACATATATCATTTGATAAGCAACTACTTTGACCAACTTAATAATGTTATAGATCTAAATGTGCCTTTAGTACACACACACACACGCACACACACACGCACACACATGCACACACACATACACGCACACAGATACACGCATGCTTACAGATTCATTCATATATAGGTACACACATGTTGTCATGCATACCTGGAGGTCAGAGGACAACCTGGGAGTTGATTCTCCACCTCTACCGTGACTTCTAGGGATCCAGCTCAGGCTGCCAGCCTTGCAGTTTCGGAGGCTCTTTTACCTGATCTTTTACCTGCTGAGCCATCTTGTCAGCTTCTTATAAATGGTTTTTAAGTTTGTTTTGTTTGTTTAAATTAGGGCTTTATTGAACTCAAAGACATCATAAAACTTTTTACAGTTTATGTATTTATTTATGTATATAGGTGTGCTTGACCGTATGTTTGTTGGTCCTGGAAATAAGGCCTGTTGAGCACATTGAACGCTAGATTTTCTCTGCCTTTCTCTCTATTCTTGGTCATCCCCCTGCCCTGTGTATGTAGTCAGGGGTTAGATTATGGTAAATTACAGTATTTGTCACATGTTAGACTGTATCAATGGAGAAAGTCATGTAGTATTGTCTACATGTACATCTGCACACTGGAAGAGGGCATCAGCTCCCATTATAGAAGGTTCTAACCCACCACGTGGGTGCTGGGAATTGAACTCAGCTCCTCTGGAAGAGCAGCCAGTGCTTTTAACTTCTGAGCCATCTCTCCAACCCCATCACAAAACTTTTAAAATGAAGTTTCTATTTTGTATTTCAAGATATTTTCTTTTAGTTGTAAGAAAACCATAGTCAAAGAGAAAAGAAAGTATGTTTCAAAAATAACTATAGCAAATATATCAAAAAGAATTTAATGGGGCTGGAGAGATGGCTCAGTGGTTAAGAGCACTGACTGTACTTCCAGAGGTCCTGAGTTCAAATCCCAGCAACCACATGGTGGCTCACAACCATCTGTAATGAGATCTGATGCCCTCTTCTGGTGTGTCTGAAGACAGCTACAATGTATTCATAAATAATAAATAAATAAATCTTAAAAAAAAAAAGAAAAAAAAAGAATTTAATGTTACATTTTAATCTTGGAATTTTTTGCCCTTTGGTTATTTTTTAATTTTTATTTTCAGGTAAGCTTTTGGGTTGTAAGAGAGATTCTCCATGCTCAAACGCTGAAAATAAGAGCAGAAGTTTTGAGCCACTATATTAAAACTGCTAAGGTAAGTATGATTTGATCCTTAGTTAACCATTCAGAAGTGTTTCACATGACCGTATGTTTGTTGGCCCTGGAAATAAGGCCTGTTGAGCACATTGAACGTTTCTTTTCTCTGCCTTTCTCTCTATTCTTGGTCATCCCCCTGCCCTGTGTATGTAGTCAGGGGTTAGATTATGGTAAATTACAGTATTTGTCACATGTTAGACTGTATCAATGGAGAAAGTCATGTAGTATTCACTTGGAGACTTCTATCTATCTGTCTATCTATCTATCTATCTATCTATCTATCTATCTATCTATCTATCTATCTATTATCTATCTATCTATCTCTATCTTTATAATATCTATCTATCTATCTTATCTATCTTTCTTTCTATCTATCTATCTATCTAATCTATCTTATCTATCTTATCTGTCTAAATTGTGACATAAACCATCCAGCTATATAGAAAATAAGACTTTGCAGACTGGAGAGATGGCTTGGTGTTGGAGCACTTGTTGCTCTTGCAGAGGACCCAGGTTCACTTCCTAACTCACAGTGGATGACATGAAGCCTCCTGACTTGCATGGGCACCACAAACTCAAGTGATACATGGATACACATGTATGGAAAACACTTACATACAGAAAATAAAAACACATAAATCTTAACAAAAGACTTTATTTAAGACCTTAAACTTCCGTTCCTCAACCTCTGACTCCAAGTACTAAGATAATACGTGTGAACCATCAGGGTCTCCTAGACTCTAGTTTAGAAGAATAGTACATATGATGCTAGCAGGTACACTGAGGAGTTGTTGAGAGGCATAGGTAATAAATAGAGTTGGAAAAGCAGCATGGTTTTCAAGGATAATCTAAGCGTCACAGGGAGGAATGGAACATTCCACAGGAAGACACTAAGACCAACCTGTAATGACTTGGAATTCGTGAGTGTTGATGGATCCAGTCTTCATCAGTGTTTGTGATGCTTGGAATAGTCATTCTTCCCTCACCTGTGAATTGAGAGGTGATAGCGTAAGCTTATGGTTTAAGTTGGAGTTCTTCCTGTATCTTCCCTGAGCACAGGAAACAATTTTATTCTAATATTGTGTGGCACTAGGTGGCAGGACTAGCCTTCCTCATGTGTAAGATTTTACAGAAATGCTAGAGGAATTTTTAAAAGCATTCTTTGTGAGAAGTTAGGTAAGTATTAATTTTTATCTAAAGAAAGTAATGGCTTTCCCCATAGATTCTGAGGTGGTTTTTTTTTCATTTCTTTGTATGTTTTTGTCCATACAGCCTACAGTTTTTTTTCTTTTTTTTTTTTATTGGATGTTTTATTTACATTTCCTATGTTGTCCCCTTACCCCATCCCCCACCCACCCAGGAACCCCCAATCCCCTCACCCCTCCTCCTTCTTCTCTGTGGATGTAACCTCTATCTACCCCCCCCACTCCCACCTCCCCACCCTCAAAATTCCCACCCCCTGGGGCATCCAGCCTTCAAGCGGTCAAGGTTCTCTTCTTCCACCCATGCCCAGCAGGGCCCTCCACTCTTACATATTCAACTGAAGCAGCTGGATCCCTCCCTAAGTGCTCCCAGGCTGGTGGTTTAGACCCTGGGAGCTGTGGTTGGTTGGTATTGTTGCTCTCCTCATGGTGCCGCAAATCCTTTCAGCTCTCCTTCAGTCTTCACTCTAACTCCTCTATTGAGAACCCCATGATCAGTTCAATGGCTAGTTGTGAGCATCTGCCTCTGAGTATGTCAGACTCTTGAAGACCTCTGAGGAGATATCCATATCAGGTTTTCTTATCAAATGATTTCTCTCCTTACTCTTTGACTTATGTTTGACAGCCTTTGCTTTTATTGCAAGCCCCAGTGCTCTAATGTTTTCCTTATTACTATTAAATCATATTCTGACACTCTGTGGCTTTTACGTTCAGCTTATAATGAAGGCTCACGTCAATCGTTCCCTTTAATATCTGTTTTAGGCAGTATTCTCTAGTGAGACAGAACCAACAGCACTCTGTACCAACATGTAGAGTGAGTCACATACAAAATGCAAGACAAGATTTTTAGGAAATCGGCTCTCAGTATTGGTGGGGCTGGCAGGTCTGAAAACATTAGGGCATGATGACAAGCTGCAGACTGTGGCAGGAGCAGGGGTGGAAGTGTCAAGCTGCGATGTCTTCTTTTCCCTCAAGGTCCTCTGCATCCATCAAGTCTAGCATGGCATTTAGTCTCCAGTGTGTTTAGCATACATTCCTTTAGTGACTAGTTCTCCAGCTATATCATAGAATTTTCTATGAAGGTTTATATCCTGTTTCATGTGTATTGTTTTAATTTGCTTTCTGTGGTTTTTCAATTAAGTGCTAACTATGGGGCTTACCTGGTTGCTTGAGAAAACTAAGTGACTAACTTTTAGATACCACTTTAAGAGTATTGTGTGGTATGACAAAAATTTTGAGAAACTTAACAGCAAATGTAAAATGGGTTTCTTGGGAAATAGTAGAACTTACTGTTTGATGTTTGCATACTATAAGAACAATATCCCATAATGTTAAGGGTCTTGAGCATGAAGAAGCAGGAAATGGACGGGGCACTAAAGACAGCAAGTTTGAGCTCTCACCCTGGGATAATAGGAGCACTGGGCAAGAAACCAACCCAAGTAGACCCTTTCTTATGACTTGGGCCACAAAATAGATGACCAGTCATTTCTCATTGCAAGGATGCTCACCACACCCCACGCACATGGCCGCTACAGTCATGCCAGCTAACCTTGGTACCAAGCCCTAACTCCAGCTTTGAAAGTATATTACCCATTTAGAGTTGGGCATATTCCCAGAGCTGGGGTGAAAATGCCAAGGTAAAACATGAAGATTATATTATAGGCCAAAAATAATTTACTGGGTACCCTAGAAGACAGTTTTAACAGTGACAGTAACAATAATAAATAGTTATTCTATCCACTGCCTAAATTGTGCTAATCTGTATTTTCCTACAGTCATTTTCTTCAAAAACAATCCTCTCCCTCCTTTTTCTTAAATCTTCAGAAACTGTATGAACTTAACAACCTCCACGCACTAATGGCTGTGGTGTCTGGCTTACAGAGTGCACCGATTTTCAGGTTGACTAAGACATGGGCGGTGAGTAACCCTGCATAGTTTAATGAAACATATACTTTTGTGCGAAGTAGAGATTTTGTTTCTTTTGTAAGTCTTAGTAAGACGAATATAATAGAAGAAATTAAACCTACATTTAAGACTTTAAACACTGCACTGAGCTTATGAGGTAATTTGAGGGAATATTGAGGCCAATGCTTATTTTGTTCTTCAGAGAATCATTTTGCATACCTTGTTGATGACATCACATGTAATCTTTACCTGATAATTAGCATTTAATTGTGTACAGATTATATTTTTTGAAATTTGAAAATCTAAATCATGACCTCTAAAATTCTTTTTTTAATTTTGAGTCTATTATATTTGAGCTATAAATCTTGAGTATAGAAAAACCTCATGATAAACATGGAATGATATGACATGCTACTTTCTGTTACAACAGCCAACATATTAGGTTCTATTACTTTGACAAAAGCAAAATAAGCTTTTTGGTATTTATATCTCTGAGTAGAATGATACCATACTCAATCTTTCTAGGTTGTCTCTTTCTCTTTTCTTTCTTTTATTTATTTTGAAACTAAGGCCTCACTTAAGGTGTCTTGCTAAGTCACCCAAAATTGCCTCAAAGTTGGGGACTTTCTTTCTTGACCTGTCAAGTAGCTGGAGTTATAAGCCTGATATACCAGCCTCTATGAAAAGGTGTGTATACATGCACACATACGTTAGGAACACAAGGTCTTTTTTATAGCCTAAGCTAGCTTTAAAGTCATGGTTCTGCCTCAGCCTCACAAGTACTAGAATTACAGGTAGGCTATATACCATGCTGAAAATATTTTTAAAAAATTAATGTCTTTTTTGTTTGTTTGGTTTGGTTTTTCAAGACAGGGTTTCTCTGTGTAGCCCTGGCTGTCCTGGAACTCACTCTGTAGACCAGGTTGGCCTCGAACTCAGAAATCCACCTGCCTCTGCCTCCCAAGTGCTGGGATTAAAGGCGTGCACTGACTTGCTAGGCAGATTAATATCTTAATGGTCTTGTGTTAAAGATATTATTTACTCTATAAACTCAATTATTCATTTTTGTCTTTTAAGACAGTATCTTCCTATGTAGCTCAGACTGGCCTTGAATTTGAATGTGTGATCCTCTTGTCTTGGCCCTTTGAGCACTAGGACTCTAGGTGAATATTACTATATCCAGCGAAAGCTTTTTTTTTTAAAGGACTATCATTGTGTGTGTGCACATACTTTTTTTCCTCACATGTTTATGTGTTAATGTATATGCATTAGAAACAAAGGACCTCCTCTGAGTGCCATTATTGAGAAGCTGCCTACCTTCTTTCTCTGAGACAGGGATGCTCATTGGCCTAGAGCTTACCAGTTAGTTAGTCTATGTAGACTGGCCCTTGAGCTCCAGGGATTCTTTTGTCTCCACTCCCACCTCCCCACCTCCCCACCTCCCCACCTCCCCACCTCCACACCTCC